TTCCTTCCCTTTTTATTTTTTATTCCTCCTTCTTTCCCTTTCTTCCCTCTTTCCTCCTCCCTCCCTTTCCCTTCTTTCAATGTTCCTTTTTTCTTGTTTTCTTCTTTATTCCCTTCCTCCTTCTTCCTTCTTCCTTTTTCCGCCTTCTTTTCTTTCCCCTTCCTTCCCTTTTCTTTTTTTATTCCTCCTTTCTTCCCTCTCTTCCCTCTTTCCTCCTCCCTCCCTTTCCCTTCTTTCAGTTTTCCTTTTTTTCTTCAGCATTCCTCCTTTCTCTTTCCTCCTTTTCTTTCCCCTTCCCTCCCATTTTCTTTTTTTATTCCTCCTTTCTTCCCTCTCTTCCCTCTTTCCTCATTCCTCCCTTTTTTCACTTCCTTTTTTCCTTTTTTCTTCCTCCTTCCATTTTCCTCTTTCTCTCTCTGTCTCTGTCCCTCTATCACTCTCTCTCTATCACTCATTCTCTCTCTGTCTCTCTCTTTCTGTCTCTGTCTCTGTCTGTCTCTTTCTCTCTCTCTCACTCTCTCTCTTTCTGTCTCTCTCTTTCTTGCACTCTCTCTGTCTCTGTCTGTCTGTCTGTCTGTCTCTTTCTCTCTCTCGCATTCTCTGTCTCTGTCTGTCTCTCTGTCTCTCTCTGTCTCACTCTCTCTGTCTGTCTATCTGTCTGTCTCTTTCTCTCTCTCACTCTCAGTCTCTCTCTCTGTGTGTGTGTCTCTCTCTCTCTGTCTCTTTCTCTCTCTGTCTCTCTCGCTCTCTCTGTCTCTCAGTCTCTGTCTGTCTGTCTGTCTCTGTCTGTCTGTCTCTCTGTCAGGGTGCTACATTATGCAGACGGCGCATATTTTCCAAACGTGCAAAAGTTAGAAACACAAGCAGCCCTCCAAAAACAATCTTTATTATTTTTGGAATCGGCAGAGATAACTTTCTGAAACTGGCTTCCCAAAGGGGTTTTTTGGGGTGTGTGTTCTGTATGTGTGAGTGGAATGAGGTCATAATTTGACAAACGAGAAAAGTTGACTGTGCCAAATATTACCTCTCCTTTCAAGAATATTGCCCGTTGCTTAAGATGGTCCCATAACCCCCCCCATCTTCTCCCCCTGCATCTCTTTTGCTCTCTAACAATAGTCCCCCCCCTTTGCATAGAAAAACTGCGCGCGAGAGAATTGGGTTAGAGTTAGCGTCAGAAATCTTGGTTTGAATCAGCAGTCAAGGCGAAGGGACAATCGAACTCCAAAAGGGAGCTGTCAGTTATTCTTCTTTTATTTTACTTTTTGTAAATACGGGTCTCCTGCCTCTGTGCAGAGGGTGGCATCCGCTTTGGCCTGGGTGGTGCCAATCAGGAATTACGTTTTAATGTTACCCAGTTTCCCTTCCTCCTTCCTTCCTTCTTTCCCTCTATCTTCCTTCCCTCCTCCCTTTTCCCTATCTCCTTCGTTTTCCCATATCCTCCCTCCCCCCTTCCCTCTCTCCCCCCTTCCTTCTTTCCCTCTATCATCCTCCCTCCCTCCCTTTTCCCTGTCTCCTTCCTTCTCCCATTTCCTTCCTTCCTTCTCTTTCTCCCTTCTTTACCTTTCCTTTCTTCAGGCTTTCTCTTTCCTACCTTCCCACCTCTCTTTTCCTTCATTCTTATTTTTCCTTTCCTTCCTTTCTGTTTCTTTCTCCTTCCTCCCTCCCCCTTTCCCTCTCTCCCCCCTTTCCCTCTCTCCCCCTTTCCCTCGATCTTCCTCCCTCCCTCCCCCTATCTCCTTCCTTATCCCATTTCATTCCTTCCTTGCTTCCTCCCTCCTTCCCTCTCTTTTCTCCTTCCTTCCTTCTCCCATTTCTTTCCTTCCTCCCTCCCTCCTTCCCTCTCATTTCTCTTTCCTTATTTCTTTCCCTCTATCCTCCTCCCTCCCTCCTTCTCTCCTCTCCCTTCCCCTATCTCCTTCCTTCTCCCATTTCCTTTCTTCTTCTCTTTCTCCCTTCTTTACCCATCCTTTCTTCAGGCTTTCTCTTCCCTATCTTCCCACCTCTCTTTTCCTTCATTCTTATTTTTCCTTTCCTTCCCAGCAATGTTACCTAGAAAAAGTTTGTGGCTTTCTATAATGACAAACCACAAACTTGTATATATATATATTTAAACTCACCGGTAAGGCTGTTCCCCTGTGTGTGTTCGGAGATGTCTGGTTAGATTGGCTGAACGCGGGAAGATTTTACCACAGTATCTAGAAAGCAAAAAAGAAATCAACCTTTTTTCCCTCCTACTATTATTCCCTGTCGATTGAAAAAGTCCCTTGAGGTCATCTAGTCCGACTGAGGGTTGCCCGTTGCTTCGAATCGTACCCCCCACACACAGCAAAGGGAAGGACCCCCCTCTCCTTTCTCTTTCCTTCTTTCTTTCCCTCTATCCTCCTCCTTCCTTCCCTCTTTCTCCTTACTTCCTTCTCCCATTTCTTTTCTTCCTTGCTTCCTCCCTCCTTCCCTCTCCTTTCTCTTTCCTTCTTTCTTTCCCTCTATCCTCTTCCCTCCCTCCTTCCCTCTCCTTTCTCCTTCCTTCCTTCTCCCATTTCTTTCCTTCCTTGATTCCTCCCTCCCTTCTTCCCCCTCCTTTCTCATTCCTTCTTTCTTTCCCTATTCCCCTCCCTCCCTCTCCTTTCTCCTTCCTTCCTTCTGCCATTTCTTTCTTTTCTTCCTCCCTCCCTCCCTTGCTCCCTCCTTCCCTCTCCTTTCTCCTTCTTTCCTTCTTTCCCTATATCCTCTTCCCTTCCTCCTTCTCCCCCCTTCCCCTATCTCCTTTCTTCTCCCATTTCCTTCCTTCTTCTCTTTCTCCCTTCTTTTTTCTTCACTTTATCTTTCTTACCTTCCCACCTCTCTTTTCCTTCATGCTTATTTTTCCTTTCCTTCCTTTCCGTTTCTTTCTCCTTTCTTCTCCCATTTCCTTCTTCCCTCCCTCCCTCCTTCTTTCCCTCTATCTTCCTTCCTTTCTTCCTCCCTCCCCCATCTCCTTCCTTCTGCCATTTCCCTCCTTCTTCTCTTTCTCCCTTCTTTCCCTTTTTCTTCACTTTCTCTTTCCTACCTTCCCAAGTCTCTTTTCCTTCATGCTTATTTTTCCTTTCCTTCCTTTCCATTTCTTTCTCTTTCCTTCCTTCCTTCCTTCCTTCCTTCCTTCCTTCCTTCC